GGCAGAGACGATCGATTTTGGGAGAGAGTTTCACAGGTGACAGACATGAATGGAAAAGAAATTTCTGCGGCACTCCGGACAGCTAAACTGTACAGCGAGTTTCAATGCGTAGCCCATCAGGCTTGTATTGGTGCTGATTCACAGTAAAAGGCAGCACGCATGATGTGGGTTTTGCAGAATCATTATGCTATAAACAGCTCGCCTCGTAGTCTGCGATAAATTCCGTGAATACCTCCAATCGTTGCAGCCTCACCTGGCATGAAAGATTGCGCATTCCAATTACGTTCTTAGTTGCCCGACGTTGTGGCTGCTCCAGCGTTGCAGCCATGAATGCCAGACTTGAATTTCGTGTTCTACAAGAGGCGCGTATTCAAGATGGGGGAAGAGTTCTTATGGTCAGTTTCTCCGAGTACTTCTGGAGGTGAGGCCACGACGCGTGTGTGTTGAAGACATTGTTAAATGCTAGGTGACATAGACCATGACGGGCTATCGTGACGCACTACAAGTCATCCAACTACGCGTCACTCGGGGAAAGAGACGAAATTATGGTAAAATACTGAACACTGTAAGCTGAAAATAAGGAGCGGGAGGATGATAATGGGTAGTACTCCATCCAAATTTCACGTCGCGCGCAGGTGGAATAATGTCCATAATGCCAGCGTATTCATAAACTCTTAAGGCTGTGCAATGTCTGAGTCCCTTGCGAGGCGTTCTCAAAACTTACAATCCATAAAGTAGGCATATAGAAATTCCTTAAATACGGACACTTATTTCAGCTGAACCTAATTTTCTTGCAAAACTTTTCATTGTTGCAGCACTCAAAGCTAGAAGTAGAGGGAGTGAGCCACACACGTCAAATTCGGTACAAAGAGCTTGCACCGGTATCCGCTTGTACTGCCTGGTGTTCGCAGTTGTAGGAGGGGCCTCGGTTTACAGAACTTACCCAGACATAATATCTGTGGCGACATTATGTGGTCCGCTCGAGGCCGACGCTAGGACAGACTGTACAGCCCCGTCTCCTAGTCAGCCTTCCTACGCCATACCAGTAAAACGTGGACCACCCTGGTAGCCACATGTGGATTAGTTCCATTTTCTGCACCTCGTCACGAGTGACCAGTCAAAAAACAGTTGAGCCGCAATCGTGCTCCGATCTTATAATGGAAGAGAAGAGGAGAATGGCAATCTTTTTTAGAACAATGGCAAAAGCTACGTTTGAATGCCCAAGGCAAGCGTAGTCCGCTTCCATATAGCTTGTCCGCGGACGTCTACCCATAACTTGTGAGTAAGCCTAGATCCTTCATGGAAGCTGTGGAATGTAAGCGTTGGCCTGCCAGAGTGCACCTACGTCTATCGCCACCCTTTCACAGGCTCACAACTAATGAGTTGACTGGGTTGGCCGGCAGACTGACATATACAGGACACATGGACAAACGGTGGTCACCCTGATGTTTGTCGCAGTCGTCGACAGCATCACTCTCCATGTCTTCAGGTTTACTGCAAATACGACAAAGGGAAACTGAGATATATTTTTGGTGTGGATCAGGATCAAATTGTGCCCCAGTATTGTGCTTTTCGGTAGGCCAGAAGCAGAGACATACCAGTCGATTAGGTGGTCAAATACCTCCACTATTCAAAGATCTCGCTCCATTGAAGAAGCTTACAAGATATTGCCTTTCAACAAATATATACTATTTGGTTGCTACCTGATGCATCGGACCACTAACACCACCATCATTAGCTTTTGAGAAAGAGATTCGCGTTTCATTTTGTTGAACGCTTTACAAAAATCAATGAAGAAAATCTTGAAGGACCTCTCCTGTTTCACTGCTTGCAACCATACATGCCTCGTCGTGCGCAGGCTGTTGTTACATGGGCGGCTTTTTCTGAAACCGGGCTGTGCGTGTTCAGTCTTTCGACTCCAGCAGCTGAAGCAAAACCTCTTCAAGTCTACTCAAGTACACTGCTCAGACACATACAGCGGTAATCAGCGCATTTCACAGTCGACTGTAATACCTAGAATCTCCAATTACTTTGCAATAAACTTTCGGGCAGTAAGCTGTTGAACCGGTCAGTCAGGTGAGGTAAGCTAACGGCCGATGGTGACTTGAGTAACTTTGGGTGGAGCCCGCCAGAATCAGCAACCTTCGTGTTATCGAAACTAATGACTAAAGCACTTGCATCTTGCTCTCCGCAATTCACGATGCCCAATACAGTAGAGACTGCACACGTCGCACTCTGCACAGTCTCTTTGCCATGTGTAAACGAGGAACGAATTGCGCCACTAGTGCTTACACAAGCGCACTGCTAGAATATAGGGATTGCAAGTCAACTGCCAAAATACTTCTGGAAGCATTCTTCGATCGGTTTATAAACTACTTTAACTTTTATTTATCGATTCTGTGTTTTGGTGCTGTTGTACCTCTTTTATGCCTTCCACGAGAAAAAAAATCAAAAATCCACTTGAGCCTCGAGCCAAATGACGTAACTCCTTGTCAAACCAATGTGGTTTCACTGGCGTAACTTTCCGACACATAAGGGGTATTAACAGTATGTACAAAAACATACTCTCTTCCACCCGGGCACTCCATAACGCTTTTCATCCTTGCTTGGACTACTCAGGCAGGGATTACCTAGCCTGTGCCAAGCGCCACTCTCAGAGCCCAATGTGCCCAGCTTCAATCCCAACTCAGGCTACTACTGCTTGAGGTGTCAAAACATGGACGAAACGCGTCATGGAGCTCAGGAATGAAAGTCGGCAGCGCCAAAATCCTCCTTCGGTGACAGTCCAAGTAATCGGATTAGCAGTTACTAACTTTAATTTAAAAGAAGCCATAATTTAGGTAACGTGTTACAATCCAAGACAGAGTGGGTACTCCAAAACCCGGAAATTAGAATCCCTTTTTCAACAGGATTCAGAGGACAAATACTGTGGAAGCGGCTAGTTCACGTGACTAGCGGCACGAATACCAAGAGAGAAGTCAGCGGGAAATCAGTTTAACAGCAGTTGTAGGATGGTTTAAACAAATGCTAGTACGGTAACAGTGGCTATAGTATGGTAATGGTCTTCGATGGTTCACAAATTACGATTGACGCTTGTACTGTAACGTCATACA